CCTAATTCAATTCTAATGTGAACTTTTAATAAGCATTGAACTTCTAATAGGCTACTAATTCTAATCCTAATTAAAAATGACTTTCCTAAAATTACGACTTAGATTTCAAATAAAACACAAAATTAATGCAAAACAAACAGCCATAAAACTAATCATTAAAAAGAGCTCTATGCTCCTGCATCAACTGAGCATGTTCTTTGGAGGATGGATGGATGCCTGCTTAGTCTGAGCATTTGTTTGCCACACTGATAAATCTCTTATGTGTGTGTTGCGTTTTTCTTTAATCCTTGTGTGACAGTTTTGATGGCTGGGTTTGGTTGATGCTTGAAATTTTTCTGTCAATTTTCTCTATAGAAGCAAAAACAAACCCCACAATCTGGAGGAAGGCATAAACGACTGTCAAAAGCAGATGAAGAAGACAATGAGAAAAATGAATCAGCACGCCCTAAAGGTGATCTTCCTGAAGATGAATATGATTCTGCACCAAAAGAAGAGAGTGATCATGAGAAGAGTAAATCAGGGAAAGATGATGGACCAGAAAAGAAAAGTAAAAAAAGTTCCTCAAAAAAGATTGTAAAGGAGAGCTCAGGGTCTGAAAGCAAGGACAAATCTATGCCTAGAAGGAAGGCTGTCCCTGCAAAATCTACAAAGGTTCCTGGAAAACCTGCCAAGGAGTCATCTGGTACAACTCTAAAACGAGGTTCTACTGATGCTGATGAAACTTCAAAAGGATCTGTATCAAAAAAACGGAAGGTTGAGAAAGAAAGTTTGAAGGGCTCAAAAGACAAGATGGATGCCAAGAAGCAAACAAACAAATCACCAATAAAGGATTCTACCAAAGAAAAAGGTATGTGTTTTTATGTTAACTTTCAAAATCTTACATTTATATCTATAATAAGGTTAGTGTTAAAATTATGATGTGTCTTTTGAGATTTCTTGTGAAATAGGTATGTGCTTGTATAAGTAGTTGTTGTTCCCGTGCTTTCCATTTAAAATTGAATTTGACTGTATGTTGGAATACTAGAAGAGGACAATCCTTAATAGGAAATGCAGACTTTATTTTGTTTGGAAAAATGAACTTCTGTCTTTACTAACGTTGGTGCTAATATATTGAGTTTATATGGATGTATAGGTAAAGGCAAATCCAGCAAGAAACCTAAACCACAGCCTACAAGAGAAGAGATGCATGCAGTAGTTGTTGATATTCTGAAAGAAGTGGACTTCAATACTGTAAGTAGCCCCTACTCTTGTGCCTTTAAGATATAAAAATGATTGAAGTCCATTTTATTAAAAGATTTTTTTTTCCTGTTCCCTATGCAGGCAACTTTATCTGATATTCTCCGGAAACTTGGTAGGTTTATTTTTATTTGAATGATGAGTTTAAAGTTTTTTGATTTAAACTTGATTAATAATGAGAATTGGTAATATTTTAGGTCAACACTTTGATGTGGATCTGATGGACAGAAAAGCGGAGGTGAAGGATATTATTACAGAGGTGATAAGAAATATGTCCGATGAAGAAGATGAGGAAAGTGAAGAGTCTGCTGGTGCTGCTGATAAAGATGGAGGTGGGGATGATGATAATGCTTAGTCTTTCTGTCAGGAATCATAAAATGTAGCGGAACACCTGAGGTATGTGCGGTCATCGGTTAATATCCGCCTGCTGGGGTTACTTCAACATTTCCATAGAGATAAATAACTGTCATTTTATGTTCAATAGGTTTTGTTTATACCATAGGCATTAGTGGCTCCTTTGTACGAGTAGCTTCTTGTGGACCTGCCTCAAGTTTACCTGCAGTTTTTGGGTCCCTTAGCTTTGCCATCGTTTAGTCTTTTTTTTTTTTTTAACATTGAAATTTGTCGCTTGTACTTTATTATTCACCAGTGATTCAGTCAAACTTTATCAAAAAAAAAAAAAGAAAAAAAGATTCAGTCAATGCTATTTTTGTAACTGCGGGCCATTTCAGCAATTTAAATCCATAACTAGAAAGGTGCCTGATGTCGCCATCAGTCATGTATTTCGATAGTTGAGATGACGATAAAATTAGTGTAGACTGTCTCTGATAAAGGAGAAATCACAGCGGAAATTAAGGGAGATTTTCAGGTTTCATTCTTTTCAATTTTGGGTAGAATTAAAAAGAATTTTGGAGGGTAGAAAATAAGAGCATAAAGAAGAAAAATACGAGAAGAGTAGCCTTTGTATGTTTTATTTTATCTGTTTAATTTTTAGTATATTTAATCCAATTTTTTAATTTTTTAAATATAAATTTTAAATAAAAATTTAATAACTTCAATGAATACAATTAAAAAAAATTTTATATGTAATTTTTATTGAATATTTTTATTTGTTTAAAAAATTTTAATTATTATTTTTATAATATATTAAAATTTAATTTAAAATTCATGTATAAAAAGTAAAAAAGTTAAAATAAATTTACCAAAAATAAATAGAGATAGTAACTTAAATTTTTATCAAAAAAATGTTTTCTTAATTATATAATGAATAAATTAAAATCTACCCTTAAAATTATCTTAATTAGCTTTACTTTTGTGTTTCGAGGCTTGCTCGTGAAAATGAATGAAGCTTGGGTTGGAATTTTGAAGAAATTACTAAAATTGGACTTAAATGTACAAGTAATAGGGACTGAGGATTAAACGTCAAAACTTCTAAAAAAAGATCGCTGATTTGGACCCGAAATTTAATCCAAACACAAACCCATTTCTAGCCCATTCACCAAAATGGACTCAAGTCATTTTCATTTTTGAAAACCCTAGGGGCCCTTTCATTCAAAAAACGTAGAAAAGGCCTCCCCTTCCTCTAACCGATTCCTCATACTCCGTTCTTGACCAGAAGCTCCATGGCAAAAACCTACTTCTTTTTTTGTTTTTTTGTTTTTTTTGTTTTATTTTAATAAATTTATAGGTTTTAATTTTTTATCTTATTAATAACACTTTTAATTCTTTATTTATATGAATTAAAAAAAAATAATTCTCACTTAATGTTAGGTTATAACCTTTTGTTAGTTTTATTAATTTATTGTTAATTTTATTAATTGATTTTTAATATTTTGTTAATAAAATTAAGGTTAAAGTATTATTTTGGTCCTTCAACTTTTCACTTTGACACCAAAATTATCCCTCAACTTTAAAAAATACCAAAATTATTCTTAAACTTTCATTTTCGATACCAAAACAATTTTCCATCGGTTAAATGATAGGTATCATGTTAATTTACCAACAAATCAATTCTTTTTTTACACTTAACTAATGACGTGAAAAAAGAAAAACATAATTGGCCTATGAGATGGCGTTAATTGGCATTTTTATTTAATTTTAAAATAATAATTTTTTTCCATCCATGTCATCTCTTCTTCCTCTTTCACTTTCTCTCTCCTTTTCCCGTACCTATGCAAACCAGATCTAGGTTCTCTCTCAAACTTCATCTTCTTCCTCCTCCCTCCTCATCCTTCTTCTTTCTTCTTCTTATTCTTTCTTTCTCTCTCTTCTTCCTTCTTCTTCTTTTCTCAAACCCAGATCTGGCATCTTAGCAACCTCGCTCACCTCGTCCATCTTGGACATGCTCGTGGCACTGCTACTCCCATGGCTCAAGCTAGATACCTTAATTCCTTGGCGGCCCAAGAAGAAGGTGGTGGTTGTAATGGGGGTGACCAGAGTTGACAAGTCACGACTCTCCATCGACTACTCAAAGCAACATCTGTTACACAAAATTACACTTGGCTCTTGTGCAAAGAAGAGTGCTTGAGGCACACTTCAAAATACAAGACTGGAATAGAATTAAAGTTTCAACGCTTAATAGTCACACAATACAAATGAAAAGACCAAGACATAAATCAGATTGGATTCAGACACTAGAGAAGAGTAAGTGAAATTCAGCAATTATCCTTAAACTCTGCTTTCCATTTTGCTTTCCATTCAACAATTCAGCAATTACCAGAGTTAAAAGTCACACAATTTTGCTGAATTTA